GAAAGTGTCCAGGTCAAGTGCCTGCTTTTGCTCAAACTAGACCTTCGAAGGCTCACTTAATTAATTGCAAGAAACCGATGGCAGAATGATAATGGCAGGCTACGATTTCAGTGGCAATTACGAGCGCTTAGCCGAACATGGAAACTATAAGTTCGAAAGTGATTCAAATTTTGAACAGCTTACCTCTTCATTTGGACCGACTACGTCAGCAATATATTGGAATAGAAACTGACAGGTGAGCAGGCGACCGGTATAGGGTATTAAATCATGCGCTTCACTGTCAGGAGGCAATTCAACCATGGTGGACGCAAGCGGAAGCACAGTTTCAACTATCTGTAAGTGAACATAATTCATTTGATAGATTAGACAACACTAGATGACTTTATCTGAAGTTGCCTTTAGATTTGATTTTTCTTCAAGGGGATTTATCATTTCCTTGTGCTGCCTCGCACTGAACGTTCCCACTCAGATTACCTGCGATCAAACAAACTTTCGAGACAATGTCTCCGGAATGCTTTTGATTCAAGAATGCATTTTTGCTACCATTAATGAAGAACTAGTGTACGATTGAAACCCCTAACAACAATTAGATAATACATAGATTCCACAGACAACAGTGACGGACTTCGAGTTCTAAAAAACGTCTCCACCGCGGAATACAACTACTTAACTAGATCGCACTAACTGCATGAACTATCTGAGATGTAGTTGATTCGTAAGAAAGTTAGTAATTGTATCTTTTTCTGAACACATTTCACCGCTTGTCATTTTCAGAAAATGTTGTTTTCAAAATACCGTCATAGTTTCGTTTCCCCATAAATGTCGAGCAGATAAAATTGGAAATATAGACCTTCACTGATAGGTAGAACACACCCTTTCTTCAGAGCCTTCGTCATCGGCTGTAGCGGTAGGATCGATTCCAAATATTCGAAATTTGATTTCCTTTTCCTCTAGGGGCGCCAATGAGAACGACTCGTCATCAGTTTGACTCGACAACTCGATCATTGAAGGACCTCCCGAAACCTTGAATGAAGTCATCACATCGGGTAATCGGGCGAAACTACATGGGAGGCTATCTTTTAAGAGAATTTAATTTGCTGAATGAGACCAAATTTCACCTTTGGCTGCCACACTTGAAGTAGAACCTTACGAATAGCAATTGTGGCGCTGGTGTTTCTCACAGTGAGCGAGTGTTCAAACCTGAAACCAGCAGAAAATTTGTAGCAGTTTCTGGTCGGAATATTGATTTAAAATCATTACAGCTGTCCAGAGTATACAGTAATTTCCGTGCTTCTGTCATTCAGATCTTCTTCTATGGGAGCACGAGGTAAGGAGGACTCGAGTTGAAGGACAGCTAAGGACGGAAGAACTTCTACCTAAAACAT